AATCTGTAAGTGCTAAAAAGAGGGTCATTTTTCTTATTATTATTCCCTGCCTGTTTAAAGATGTCCATCCTTTACTTCAAAAATAGGCATAGTCAAAGTGTGTGGGAAGGGAATTGCCCTTTTGACCTCTGAATCATTAGCAATCTTCACTTATTTTAGGGCTAAATGCAGCTGCCAGGCGAATACATTCCATAGCACTTCAGCAACCTGAGAGACTCTCTTCTGCATCCCAGAAACACGAACCTCTTCTTCAGATTTAAAGACCAACTGAGTTCCTAACAGGAAAAGCACTCTTTAGGGGTTGAGGCATAAAAACAATATCTGACTTGTAACTCTGGCGTTTACAGTGTTGAAGAAGCTTCTTGGGTGATAAGCGAAACATCTTCAAAGAAAAATCAGAAAATCTAGCTGCCTCTTGAAAAAAAGCACCTTTGGGACAACCATGACCTGGATGACTGAGAATCTCCATAGACATTTAGTGATGCACTCTGGCACATACCATTCATCTGAACCCTGTATCTTGCACACATCATAATAGGGTAGCCATTGCATTTTACATCAGCTGCAACTTGCAGAAGTTAGCTCTGAAGCATATACAGCCATAGGCAAGATGGAATGTAACCGAAACTTAGATAGTGGCTTCAGGGCAATCAAAGCTAGCATTCTAACCAAAATTGTGGAAAAAGCATCCAATAATGGGGTCCAGTGAATTCAGTGTCAGCTGAGAACCAAGGAATACACCTAGGCAGAAGATTTGTTATTTCAGGGATGAAAGGATGAATTTTTATTAAAGAGGTTACAGCCAATTGCCTATTCACCAAGAGAGCCACCATTTTGCCTGATTTTAATTTCAGCTTGTTTCCCTTCATCCAGGCCATTAGTGAAGTTAAGCAACCTTCAAGATTAATGTACTTGTTGCACTCTTCTAAGTAAACAAAGAATAATTTGCTCATGACACCCCACTTCCAAGTTCTGAATGGTTCCCCCTGTGCCTTCAGACAAATGCGTGTTGAACAGCATGGGAAACAAGAACTATGTAGGGCAGCTCTGGATCAACAGTTTAAGTATTATGTAGACATACACACACATACATCTCAGCACCACCTCAGTACACCAGGAACAACTAAAAAACTGCAAATTGCTACCCTGAAGGTTTCTGGAATTATGGACGGAAGAATTAAAAGAGGGCCAGAAGAGTTAGCATTGCTACATCTAGGTTCTGGGATAGGTCTCTCTATTAAGATAGAGTAGAATTATCGAGGGTGTCAAACTGGCAGTCCACAGGCCAGATGCGTCATGCACAGGCCACACCCAACCAGGCTCCACAAAGGAAAAAAGGTCATGAAACATCAGGTGGCGGCAACGTTACATGACACTGCGAGTTTGACACCCGTGGAATAATAGTTAAGTAATTTTGTAGTCCCCTCTCCTCCTAGGTGAAAGCAATTCAGTCCAGATACATAGTATCAATTCAGGGGATTACAACTCCCTGAGATTACAGTCATCTATCTTTCCAGAAATTGAATGAGGCTAACATATACATTTATATTTCCTGGGTCAATCACGTGTTTATCACTACCTTCTATAGCTGTGATGGTGAACCTATGGCACGCGTGCCAAAGGTGGCACACAGAGCCCTCTCTGTTGCCCCCCCCCAATAAGGACTATTGATCAGTTCCCATTTGCAATTTAGAAATTTTCATTTGCAACTTAGAAAACACGGTTCACCGACAAATGCACGCTCGACAAATGCGCACTGACAAAACCGCGCCGATGAAACCGCGCCCGCCATCAACAAACAACATAATGAGATGCGAAAACGTTATAACCCTAACCCTAACCCTTTATAACGTTGTTTTCGCGTCCCATGATGTTGTTTGTTGATGGCGGGCGTGGTTTCGTTGGCGCAGTTTCGTCGGTGTGCATTTGTCGGACGTGCATTTGACGGGTCACGAGAAAACACAAGGTGCAAGAAAGCAGGTAATAATCCTCATCTCTCCACACATATTGTCTGCCAACTGAAAACAGTTCAAAATAGTAGATAGTTAATGAATTACATCCCTAGGATTTGTGCAGCACTGAATTATAAATCAAACTCAATCTAGTCAAGTTTCTCTGCAAAGAATGGTTTATGATGAGCCACCCATTGTTCCAGATTCTCACTTCTTCTCACATCTTGATGCCTCACAGTATATAAGAATGTTGGCTGTTCAGTGTGGATACATTGATGTCAGAGAAATAAGCACTCTTTCTATTACCAATGCTCTGAAGTAGGTCTCCAAATGAGCCTTCAATTGGGCTCGCTCTGATCTATCCTGACAATTTCTCCATTTTGTTTCACTGATGCCCTGCCTGCTTCGTTACTCTCAGTTTCCACAGTAAACCAAGGGACTAATTGCGAAGAAAGAAATGCTTGGAAGTCACAGTGTAAACGGATCGCCTCCATTATTCCACAAATCAATCAGGGTCTTGAGGGTGAGATCATTTTAACCAGCCCTCTACACCTGTAAAAGTCTGTTATAGCCGCCAATCTAAAACGCACCATGGAATGATGCATAGTAATTGATTTTCTCAAAGATGTTATATTCTCCAAGACCTGCCTAAGGTAGTCCCAGAGAGGCAATCTTCCTTGAAATTACTCCTTGGTCATGATGCAGCCCCATCACAGCTTTGCTCTTAAACGCCAGGTCCTGAGATCTAGGGCAGTTTTCAGCAGATGACTTCTGTTGGGAGTAGGCTGTCGGAGATTTACTCTTACAAGGAAGCTGTTTTTCTAGGTAGTAAAGCAGGCACCCAAGCAGACGGGTGGAGGGAATATTTTTCTTTTTCTCATCTAGACTATAACTAGCTGGACTTAATGGGATAAGCAACAACAGCTTTCCCTGTTTTTTTTTCCTTTTCTATTTTTGCTTTTAATAAGAAGGTCATTTTTCCTCTGCCTCACCAAATGTTTTCTAGCAACTTGTTCTAGCATACAAGTTTTCATGTTTTAATTAAACAGGAACAATTTAGCTGGGCACTAAACTACAAGAGGTTAGACTCCAGGTAGTGCTGTGTGATAAAATAGCTGTGTCTTAGTTCACCCCACAAAAGATGTAAATAAGAAGAGCGGGATAAGTATTTTACATGCTGCGATAATTCCAGGTTTATTTCCACTTGCAGGTAGTGCTTGAATTACAACACTTCATTTAATGGCCATTCAAAGTTACAACGGCACTGGAACAAGTGAGATATGACCATTTTTCACACTTACGATCACTGCAGTATCCCCATGGTCACGTGATCAAAATGCAGCCTCTTGGCAACTGACTCATATTTATGACAGTTGCCATATCCTGGGGTGGAGGTGAGTCATCTTTTGCGATTTTCTGATAAGCAAAGTCAATGGTGAAGCCAGATTCACTTTGCAATCATATCATTAACTTAAAAACTTAAGTGATTCACTTAACAACTATGGCAGGAAAGGTTGTAAAATGGAGCAAATTTCACTTAACAACCGTCTCACCTAGCAACAGTAATTTTGGGTTCAATTATGGTCGTAAATTGAGGACTACCTGTATTCAGCAATCCTTTCAGGCACAAGACACTATTATTGTATCTGATTTTGTGGGTAGAGGTTCTTGTTCTGAAATCTTGAGAAACAGTATATTCAATCTCTGTGCAATGAACATGAACAAGTGTAGGTACTTGTGTACCTATGTACTCATTTGTGCAGATCCTGAAAAGCTAGTTGCAAGTCAGTTTTCTCCTACCAGTTTAAGTTCCTTAGGAATAACTAATCTAGGACTGACAGTCTTTAAGATAGCCCTAACCAAGGGTTCCCAAAGGTGCTTTTCCCAAGGGCAACTGGATTTTTTTTTCTTTGAAAACATTTTGCTTCTCACTCAAGAAGCTTCTTGAATGAGAAATGAAACATTATCAAAGAAAAATCCCAAGAAATTCCAATTACCTTTTGGAAAAAGAATCTTTGGGACAACCATGACTTAGATGATTGAGAATCTCCACAGACATTTAACCAAAGGGTCAAAGTTATGGTTGCTAAAACTACTTTTATTATAAGATTACAGTGGCAGAATCTATATATACTTTGTCAGAATATTCATGAACTGGAATAGGACAAAGCAACAGGTCAGCCATTGGGACCTCACTGGAATAGGACATGGTAACAAGGTCAGCCAATGGAGAGGCACGGCAACTGGGTCAGCCAATGGGAACTATTTGGTGACAGAGAGCCATGCCAGAGGGCTCGGAGCCTGGGTGTGGCTTACCTATGTAACTTTGAGTCTGTGCAAAAGGAAACATAAACTAGTCTGGTCTTGTCTGTATTAAGCTCTAAACTCTGAACTGAAACCAATCTCTCCTCTCCCTGTGCTTTGCCTGTAACTACTGCCATGTTGGAGAATCCACTGTTGGTATTGTAAATTTATTCATCTGTTATTATGTATAAAAAGAAGCTAATGAATCCAGCTGAATCAGTTATCTGTGTGTGCTTTCGGGATTTGATTTTTGCAAGAAACCCTGACACACTTCTTCTCTTCCTGCCTTTATTTTCAAGAAAGCTAAATAGGGTCAAGTCTGAGATTCTTTCTCAAATTATATTCTTGCTTTGGACTCAGATTTCTCTTATGTGAGCATTGTCTTCAAGACTCTTCTTTCTATTCTTCAAGGTTTCTCTCACAGTCTATGTGGCATTTATCTGCAGAGGAAAAATGGAAGCAGTTGCTAGTTTCACTTGAAACGTTTCCTATTCATTACTCCAGCTTAGATGTTCTCACTGCAAGAAAGCTCAATGACACCATCTTGAATACGAATGGCTTCTTGAATAATAGTGGAGATAAAAGGGAGTATTGAAAAAGCTATAAATGGATGCTCAAACTGTTCATGAACGTGAATGGCATTCCCACAAAATTCTCATGTTAGAAACATCGCATTTTTGCTTATTTTACGCATACAGAGATATATACACACACAGAGAGAGAGAGAGACACATGTGAGCTTACCTCTAGTATGTGTATAACATAGGTAGGGTAGAGAAGCAAGAGGCCGGTGACCCCTACTCCCTGACAATACTGGCGTTGCAAATTCAGAAACAGTTGTTCCCAGTACTCTGAGGAGAAATAAGGCAAGCACAAATTCCTTCACAAAATAATGGGGCTGCTTGGCGATGCTATAACATCATAGGCTTCTGTCCCCTTTATCCACACAAAACTTAGTGTTTACTTTTAAAAACAGCAAGGAGGAGGAGGGTGCAAAAACACAAGCAGAGCAGCAACAAAAAAATTAAGAAACATCTCAGAAGTTGCTGCATTTTTAAAGACAGAAAATATCTGATCATCAGCTGATTAATTTAGGTTCCATTTCAATGTGGTGGTTGAGGCTCCAGGCTAAACATTAGGAAAGTGTGAATTCTAGTCCCACCTTAGCCATGAAATCCAGCAAGGTGATCTCCCTCAGCCCAACTTCTCTCACAGGGTTGTTGTGGAGAAAATAGAAGGACGGAAGAGAATTAGGTATGCTTGCTATCCTGACTTATTTATAAAAAATATTAAAGGTGAGATATAACTAAACAAAACAAGGTCTGAGCTAGGAGTCCACATTCTGCAGGGAAAAAAATTGCTCCTGGGGCTATTTGTTGGAAACTTCCTCTGCCCTACACTGCTCTCCACTCATCCAAAGAGTTTGGGTGCATTTTGTGTACTTGAAGGACCTTTCAAGTTAGCTGCTGGCTTTCAGAAGCTCAGGGTGTATTTATTAAACCAACCCATTCCATTCTGAAACTTTCTGATGACGATTTCAAAAATTTTACTTACCGGCCAAATATCTTTTATCAGCCAGGTCTGGTGAGATCTTAGCCAGAAAGATCAGCCTGTGGAGGAGGGATTTCTAAAGGACAGAGAAAAAAGGAACCTGTTTTTTTTAAAAAAAAAATATTATTGACAGAATATATCAATCAAATCAAACCGTTATTATAGCCAAAGACCAGCAAAAGGGGTATAAAGAATTGAAAAGCATAAAAGATAAACCAGAATTAAAAATGACATATGAAAACATAAGAAATATAAAAACAACAATCCAAAAGGAATTTTAAAAAGAATCTGAAAGCAAGGCTAGAAACAATGGATGGGTGTGTAAAGACGCGTGGCAAACTAAATCCATAACGATACAAATCACTCTAAAATAACAAGCTACGTGCTCATTAAAACAGGTTTATAGCGCAAGTTGTTTCTGATGGATTTTAAGCACTGCTGTGCACAACCTGGCAACATTATATGTTATAGGAAGGTTGATGTCTGAAAACAGCAGGGAAGTGTAAAATTGTCCTGTGCACCCTGAATATTTATGCAATAATGGTGTGATGAGACTACTATAAATGTACTACAGACACTAGAGAAGTGCACGTTCTGTTGTTTCTGCTTGTCCAAAGCCACAGGGGCATTGTCTCTCTCTCTCACACACACACCTTTCCTATGTTGGCCTTCAAGGACAGCTGAGGAAAGGGCATGACTATGCCAGTGTAAAAGCCCTCAGGTTGGTTAGGAATTTCAAAGCTAGTTAAGTATGCTATTGGGGAAGGCAGAATGTCTGTTGTGCTCAGTGGTGATAAAGGTTGGGGACCTAGTTAAGTCTAATTGAAGTTCTGTGTATGGTACATGCTGTTAATAAGTGCTTTGACTTGATTGTATCCCTTGATGAATAGAAGACCTGGGGAGAAGCCCAAGGATGAAAATTTAGTAGTCATTATCTTTTTTTCATATGGACTGAAAATCATCCCTCACAATTGGTGGGGCAAAGCCTGGGAGGAGGCTAGTCTGAGCCAGTAGTTGAGTTTGGTCATGTCTAGCCCCTATTTCCATGAGGCTTGTCTGTAGTCTCAGGGGAGCATTAGAGATACATTGAAGAGCTGATATTAGAAATTTGGACCTGACTAATTCTAAATCGGTCAGCAAAATTGGCCCAGCTGGGCTCCACGGAGAAATTGTGCTATTGGCTTGACTTTGAATATTGGAGGAGTGCTGCAGGAATGCAGTGGCCACCTCTTGTTTTGAGGAATCTAAGGATGGCAGATGAGCTTCTCTGTTTGTTTTTAGCAATGTAGATCCCATGGGGTTTCCTATTGTTGGAAGAAGTCTACTCCCAGATATGTGAATCAGGAGACCTTCTCAGTCATCTGCCATCTATCCCCCAGGATTTCTTGGGTCTTTTGCCAAATGCCATGATTTTGGTTTTCTGATGATTTCTAGCTGGTCTTCCTTGCAATGTCATGTTAGTGTTCTCAGTGCTCTTTTAATGCCAATAGGAGAGTATTGCTGCATCATCTGCATTGAATAAAACAGAGATGTATCTTCCAGCTAATTCTGGGGAATGAAAGTTTGTGTCAAGGAGATGGGCCACTGAAGTTTATATAGAAGTTGAATGGGACTGGGGCTAATATGCAACCTTCCTTAATGCTTTACACCTTCTTCTGTTCCAGGTCCATAGATGAGATGAGGGATGCATTATATTTTGAGTGATGTCCCTCAATGAAGCATACATATTAGATGAATATCAGTCAGTCAAGAAGGCCTCCAGTTTTTCCACAGTTTAGCTCAAGGTATAAAATCAAGAGATGCTTTGAAATCTAAATCTGAGTTCTTCTTCTGCAAGTATGTTTTCTTGTTCCAGCCATCCTGGAGTTTCCATTCTAGGTGTCTTAATGTGCTGATTGGGTTGAGGAGATTGAGCAGTCTGTAATTGATGGGATCACCCATTTTCCTTGGTTATAGATAAGGATAATAATTGCAAGCCCTCAATCCTTGGGTACTTTGTGATATTGCTACAGGTAAAGAGTGAGGCTGACAGGAGATCAATATTGTTGTTGTAAGCGGCCCAGAGTTGTTCTTTTAAGATGAGTGGACACACAAATGTTTAAAATGAATGAAATAAAAATAATTATATCAGCCATGTAGCTTTTCACGCAGGGGAGAATACAATCTTACCCATTTAAACATATTATGGCTGCAAAATGAGCTTGGTAAAATATCTTAATAAATTTTATTGTGAAGCCTTTTTTGGTTTTGCAGCATTAGCTCAAAAAAGGCCAGCCTGAAGTAAAGATCAGGCTGCTGCCTCTCATTTCACATAAAAAAAAACTGTCCAAAACAGTGTTTCTCAACTTTGGCAATATTAGGAATTGAAGTCCACACAACTGAAAGTTGTCACGGTTGAGAAACACTGATCCAGAAGATGGGTGGACACACAAATGTTGAAGATAAAATTTTATTTTAAATCATACTTCAGCAATCCAATACAATTTTGAATAATAGGCTGGTGCAAAAGGAAAGGTAACTAGAGCCATGTTCAGAAAACATGTTTACTTGGTCAATTAAAGATCTTTAATACAAAGGTTTGATTGCCTTTTGTTTTTTAAGCTTATTGCAACTGTTCAAACCCAGGTCTTTAGGTTTGTTTGTGGTTCAATGTATTCTACATGCCCAGAAAAATGGCTCGATATAACCAGTGAGTAAAATATCTGTGGAAAATAGCTGACTGTATATATTCAGATATTTTCCCATTGCTTGGCAACTGCCATACTCTGTCAAATGATAGGGATAATTCTTGACAAATTGCATTTTTGAACCTATGACAAGAATAAATGTATTTGTTTTCCTTATCATGTTTTCTAACTAAAATAAATAAAACAGCAAGAAGCTCATTTGTTTGGAAAGAAGTCTGCTCTGAATGTTTCTCTGATCCTTCATTTGACAAAAGCCCTGCTTTATACCTTGTGATAATTAATGCTCATTTCTTCTCTAAAGAAGATGTAATATGCATATCGTACTTGAGCTCCTTCTCTGAAAGAAAAAAATATATGTGTTGTGCTAGACATCCTGTCTTCTTATGTGTCTAACCATAAAGAAACATTTTAGCTCATTGTTCATGCAGGGGCTGGCTGAAAGGACATGAAGTAGGAAACCCTTTTTCTTATGTTGTCTCCTGCCATTAAAACAGAGCTTGCCAAGATCAAATCCTTTCTACCTTGGCAGTATTTGATGTATAGGTAAGGGACAGTGGTGGGTTGTTTTTTTACTACCGGTTCGCTCATGCACGCATGCACAGAAGTACCCGGCCGGGTGGGCGGAGCCTCCTGCCGCCACCACCACTACCAGTTCGCTTGATCCGGGCCAAACCAGGAGCAACCCACCTTTGGTACAGGAATTATACTAGCCCTATAAAAAGAGTATGAAATTAAAAACATTTATCAAACATGCCATTTTTTTAATTTAAAGAATTTCACCAATCCTATCCATGTTACTAAGGATATTATGATAGCTCCTGGATTCACAGCTAACTTTTGACCACCATCTCTCAGCTGTG